GGGTTGCCAGGAAAGAATTCTTGGGGAGCCTCTTGTCTCTCTGGAGACGGGCTGTGTTCCAGTCGGTCTGGGTGCAGCCTGTCAAATCGGGTGGTCAGGCGCCTAACCATGAGGAGTTCCACAGGGCTGCGGCCGGTGGAGGTGCTCGGGGCCAACCGATGGCCAAAAAGGAAAGCCGCAAGCCTGTGGTCCCAGTCCCCATGAACGATCCGCCAAAGGGACTTTTTCATGGTTGTTGGCCAGGTGAAAGGGAGCGGAGCGGATGTGCCGGATGAGGTAGCAGCCCATAAATTCTTGGAATTCCCCCGACATGAAGGCTGTTCCGTTGTCTGTCACGATTGTGTTGGGCAAGCTTTGCGTGCTGAAAATCCAGCGGAGGGCCCGGATCATCACCTTGGAGGAGGTGGAGACGACGAGCACCACCTTCAACTATTTGGTGTATGAGTCCAGGCCCCCCTTGGAAGGGGCCCGAAAAGTCCAGATGTACCCAGGACCATGGTTTGTGGGTGAATTCCCACTGCTGCACTGGTGTCCTGGGAGACTCCGGTTGGGTTTCTTGACAGGCCTGGCAGCACTTGACCCAGGCCTCTATTTCCCCATCCATGCCTGGCCACCACACGTAGCTGCGAGCCAGTGCTTTCATCCACACGATTCTGGGGGGTGTCTCATGCAGAGCTGAAAGCACTTGCTGGCACAAAGGAGCGGGCACCCGGCTCCCCCACAGCAGGCAACCCTTGTGGGCTGATAACTCGTCCCTGCAGGAGGAGAACGCTGCGAATTCTGGGCCTACCCAGCTGGTGGGCCAGCCCCTCCCCACCCAGTCCAAAACATGGGAGAGGACACAGTCCTTTGCAGTGTGGTGGGATATGTCGGTTACCTCTAGAGGCCAGTCGGGAAGTTCCTGCATGAACAGGATTTGGTGCACAGGAGCAGGATTGGGATCACAAGAGGGAAGAGGCAGGCAGCTAAGGGCGTTGGCATGTCCCATCACCTTCTCTGGGTGGTGGAGGAGAGAGTATTGGTATCCCGCCAGGAAGATTGACCATCGCAGCACTCGGGGTGAAAGCATCTGTGGGGTTGGGTGATCTGGAGCTTGCAGGCCCAGCAGAGGCTTGTGGTCAGTCACGATGGTGAACAGCTGCCCCGAGAGGTAGTTGTCACAGGAGCTTGACGATGACCCAGCGCTGTGCTCGTCACTCGAGCTCCCCTGTTCGCCCAACTCGGCCACATTGACTCCCCCTCCCGGTCGTAAGGAGAATTCAGGCCTCAGACACCTGGACGGGGGAGGGAGGTAACGTCACCTCCCTACCCACGCGTCCCTGGTGGATGGGGTGCCCTCTCTCTCTCTTCACTCTCTCACCTAGGAGTCATCCCTGGCCATCTCATCCTACTCCTTTTATCCTCCTCCCTCCTCCCAGTGTCCCCTGCTTCCCTCGGTCCTCCTTCCTTCCCCTGGCCCTGCCCCCTTACAAAGCCGTTGACGCAGCCCTGGGGTGGGGTCCGGTCTGCTTCTGGTCCTCCCAGCCTGGGTTGCGGCGCTCAGCCACTTGGGTGGGCTGTTGCGCCGGGCCGCAAGCCCAGCACAACCACCTCTCCTCCAGCGCGCCGCTTCTTGGGCGTGCCGTCAGCAGCTTCCCCGAGCTCGAAGGAGGGCATTGGCGCTGGCATTGGCGCGGCCTGTCTCGCTGCCTCAGGCCCCCTCCCAGGCCCTCAGTGTCACGGGTGAGTGTTGGGGGACCCGCAGGACATTCCTCGGGAGTGGGGTGGGGTCGCTGGCGCGGGGGGGTGGAAGTCCTGTCCTCAGGATAGTAGTCATGGAATTTTTTAACTCCCGCAATGATAGCCAGCACCTCCTTGTCAATTTGCATGTAGTTGAACTCGGTCGAAGATAGGGTGTGGGAGTAGTACACGACAGTAGGACAGCTCCTACCCTGTATGGAGAAGCATCACAAGAGAGGATGATGGCCATCGCTTCAGCAAAGTAGGCCAGGACAGCATTGGAGGTGAGCAGCTCCTTGATGGCCCGGAATGCAGCGGCTTGTTTTTGGCCCCAGAACCAGGGGTCCACAGCTACAACCTCCAAGCTGGAACTCCAGGCCTTCTTGGAGCTTTTGAATTTCCATCAGTCCTTCCTGCCCCACAAAGCTGCGATCGCGGAACTGCTTCAATGCCTCCTCAACAAGAAGGCTCCCTAGTTCTGGGTACAAACACACAGGGAACACGGCAAAGTTAGACAACCATAAAGAAACACCGTGATAGAACAAAACACACTTCTACTAATATGTACTTGTATCTTCATATATTGATTTACTTGCAATACAGACTCTAGTATATCTTATACACATACAAAAACCTAAAGTACATTGTATCTACTAATAGAAAAGTCCACAG